AAAAGTCAAAATTATGAGGTCATAATTATGAGATGAAAAGTTGAAATTATGACTTTAAAGTTGAAACTCACGTAATAAGTCAATTATAAGATAAAAAGTTAAAATTATGACATACTAAGTCATAATTTTGAGATGAAAAAAACTAAATTATGACACTACGTTGACTTTAAAAGTGTATTAAATTAATACTAAATCTACTAAAATTATGAGATTAATAAAGTTCAAATTTATGATATAGTATTTTTTTGCCATTTCTAATCTCATAATTTCAATTTAGTATGTCAATATTGGCGTTTTATCTCATAATTTTCCTCATAAGTTCAACTTTTAAAGTCATGATTGCAACGTAGTATGTCAATTACGACACGTAAAGTCATAATTTCGTAATTCTGACTTTTAAAATCATGACTTAAACATGATTTTTTCTTCTTAGGTGGTGGAAATCGGTGTCCATAGATTTCCGATGGTCCGCATGGGAACTTTTCCCTCTCACACGCAACACCCGATCACACGGATTCCCGTTTAAATGACTGAATTTTGCTCGCGAAATTACGCCAAGCAACCGCGACTTAGCACGTGAGATCACTGGTGATTTCATGCACTGTTCCCATGGTGATGATGTCCCAAATTCCTGTCTGCTTGAATTTTCCATCTTATGGAAATGAATGAACCGTATGAACAATGTGCGTGATCTACCCTCGCGGTGGTGATGTTCGGCGCAGCGACGTGCTAATACGCATCGCTGCAGCGTCTAAAGTACAGAAGTCGTGCAATAATTCGATTTACCGAATCTTAAAAACATATAAAATCTATCCCATGATGTAGAGTGGTCAGGTAGCACACGTGAAGTAGATCTTAGTAAACGTACGGCAGGCAGCGTAAGTTTAGCACATGGCTAATCTAGCTATTAGTCACTGCTCTGTGTAAACATTGAACGGATCCCAACATCAGGCCTTTAAGTTCTGTGCTGATGTGCGACGAATAGACTAGTGACGTTACTTTGAAAGTTTGGCTTTGTTCGGCTCTTTTTTCCCCCACACACTTTTCTAACACACACCCTCCAGTGTTTCAAATGCACAACACTGTGGCAGTAACCCAGTAGAAACAGCACATTCACTAGTGGGGGCAAATTGTAGGATTGTGAGAAACAAACACAGACAGGCCGCCCGCGCTGTCGACGCTAGGCTAGTGGTTCGCTAATAAGCACTACGCTAATGTCTCGCTCACAAATCAGGAGTCTGACTTCTCCATTCGACTCGAATCCCCTTGAACACCCAAATGTTAAATCACATCTAAGATTCTACCAAAGCTAGGAAGAAGCAAACTAAAAATTCAAGAAATATATGCAGCTAATGTTTCCGCTGTGCTAACGGGCGCTAACCCATGATGTGCTCAACAACAATACTTTTTGGGAAGAACACACACTTGTTCATTCATCTACGTTAGTAAGTATTGGATTGGCAAGTTTTAATCTTTTTACACCCTTTTCTTCGTAACTACTCTCTTTGTTAACTACCTCCGATTTTGCATTATTTACAAGTATTAACAGTACACTCATGGACCAGAAGGTATTGCTGTGTGCACATTTAGAAAGACGGGTCGTACCGTTCTGGACGTTATCAGTCGATTGGGCAAATTATTGGCGAACTGATATGGCGCAGCTTGAAGCTGATTGACTAATGTGCATGTGCAGAATGTCAGCTAATTGTTTCAGTTTAACT